ACAAAAACACATTTATTTATTATTCATAAACACGTTGTGAATTCTAATCTTGTACAATGACAGTAATAAAAATTATTATTAAAGACATTTTTTTTTAATATTTGGCACATTCAACACAACATACATAATTTACATAAAAATAACAAAATAACCGTAGGTTTCTGAGACCAAAATCTCCGTTCAAAACATATTTTTTATCTCTGTTTCATCAAATATGAAAGACTGGGATAACCATATGTTTATGCAGAGATTTTCGTATCCGAAACTCACGGTTATTAATTTATACATATAAGACAAATTAATATTAATAATATTAAATATTTTACAATTATAAATACTTAGAAATAAATATTCGTAGTATTCTGAATATCGTAACTGTAATAATCAACATGAGAAGCGACTAAAGTGTTGGAATTAGGTATTAAATGAGCCCTAAAGAGATATAAAGGGGCAATTTTCATGCCCTCTGGTGACAGACGGACAAAACAACGAACCAGATTTAACTTAACTACTTAACTTGTGCAAATCTTTTTAATGTTTCGAAACATTGTATTTTAAGTGTAAACAAGTGATTGTTACATTAAAAAATGTACAAAATTCCTATTAATATCAAAGTAATAAAAATATGCAAAATATAAAAATTAATAAACAATTTTAATATGTATATTATGTATTATAATTTGGCACATGGACAATATAGTTATATATTAATTATGTTGCATTTTATTTTAATTAAAAATTAACAATTTTTTTACAACCTTTCATAATATGATTAACTAAAAATTCATAAAAAATAATTGCTATTAAAAATACACAGACTAAAATTAGCTATGTATTTTTTTAAAAGAAAAAAATTGTTTAATTTTTGGAAATATGTGCCAATTTCATATTTTATTTACCACATTTTTTTTTAACACTACAATACACAATTGTTTTAATTACATACATCAGTTCATTTTATTTTGACAATTTTATTTTTATTATTTAAAAATCCACATCTAAAACACATATATCTAAACTTTGGATTACTAAAATGTAGAAACCTCAAATATTATTGAGCATTTATTCGGTTTCGTTTTGTACATAGGTAATTGAATATATATAAAGACACGTGGTGTGAGCAAGTACATAATGTACAAACAGGTTTACGATAATTGTTATATGAAAAGTGATTAATTAATTTACATTATTATAATAAACCTAGCTATTGTTTATATGCCATTTATTATATTTATAAAATTATAAATAAAACCACATTCAGATTTAATGGAAAATGTACGATATATATGATTACATCCATACAAATATTTGAGGTTACTACTATATATAAATGAAATATATAATGCATTATTCTAATCTTAATTATTAATATATTTTTATATACTTTATAATTAAAAAAAAATTGTAAACTTTGGATTTGTATTGTAACGATTTAATAGTGGTAGAGTAAAGAGATTCGATTTAATAGAGAAAGAAGAAAAAATTTCTTGCTTTCCCTTCTCATTAATAACTGTTTTATCTTTTTTAAATGAAATTATTTTAAAGTCAAATTCAAACGAAATTCGTAATAGAATGTTTGTTCGAATTTAATCTGTGATATTTTACTCTGCTAATAATATATTTATGTGGGAATTAAAAAGCATTTGTACTTTTAAATAAAATTACTGGCCAAGAAGTTTCTATGTTTTCAAATTAAAAAAAAACATGTTTATAATAATTTATAATCTGTATTTATTGAATGTCAGTGGTGTGCAATAAACCAACAATTCTTCCTCACCTATTAGTAGTATATAAATACTTATGACACTACATATAAATCTACAAATTAAAGATCAAAGGACATCCACAAATGAAAACATTTAAGTTTCTAGTTTACTGTGCGCATTGACAATAATATTAGGAATTACATCATCGATAGAGTTATAATAAATTTAAATTTACAAGAGATTCGTCGTATGAGTCAAGAAGACATGTTACAAATGAATGTTGACAATATTTTTCCATTCTGATCTTTATACTGTTTTCTATACTTCATGTATTCGGTATACGTATTAAAATATAGCAAACAAAAACATTTTTAATTAAATATTATGTTAAATAGAATCCAAATATAAGTGTGTGCAAAGATAGTTTATTTTTTTTATATATAATTTTGTTTTTTAATAAATTTGAATTACGCATTTGTTAGTATTGGTTTCTGGTATTTGAATTTAAATTATTTGGTAAAAAAATTGCTGCTTTAAACTTTTATTTAGATAAATAATAATAAGCGATTAACTGTGATGTATAAATGTCGTAAAATAATAATGAAAAAGCAAATAAAAAGACGTATTAAAAATGCGCAATTCACATAAAAGTGAGGTTATTTCGTTTGATGTATATTTAATTTAATTTTTACAATATATCTAGTTATCTACACGTATTAATATTAATAAATAGTTTAATAAAAACCTCTTAAACAAAGGAACGTTGTACGACACATAGATTTGATGTGCATGTTATAAATACATAATGTAAACTTCACACATACACTTTACTTGTATATAATAATATTTAATATTTAAATAATACTTTCACTTTTAATATTATAATATTGATACAAATTTAATATTACAAATGATTAATTTACGTGTAATATTTACAATATTTTCAGGTTTTTTTTTAAATATTAATTAGTTTATTTTACAAGAGTTAGTAAGAACAAATATGTTTATATGAAATTAACATAATTAAATAACAATTTATTATTATTATTTTAATAAATATCGTGTTATAAAATTCTATTTATGAAAATAAATATTTACAATAAACTTTACTTCGTCTGATATGGATTTTATTACAGAATAACTCTTGTAAAATGAACTTTTAAATACATATTTAGGATTTAATATTTAATATACACAGGGTTATACATAGTTAATAACTATTATCTTTTATTATCAATATATATTTTGGTAGACAAACAATCGTCTTCAAAAAATGGAGCCAAACAAAACAAGGCAAGAATCAACAGACTGCCTTCTTTTTTTGTCAGTTGCTATTTAACTGCGGGAGTATGCTCACGTCTTTCGCGCAACTGTCCCTTTCGCACACGTTACGCTGTCTATTAGGGAAAAAGGAACGACATCAGTAATTTTTTGCTTTATCATAAGGTACGTATTTTACGTTTAATTTTGTATATAAGCATGTATACCAAAATATATATCCATGTTATATTTGTTTGAATTCACTTAATTTTCATTGTAAATATTACAAAAGTGTTACATGAGAATTAATTATACAATATTTGTTTCGTAATGTTGTAACTTTGGGTTTCACTGCAATGGCACTATTAATACATATAGTGGTCTCTTTTCTATTAAAGAAAATGTAAGAGATGGCAATATGTCTCAATATTCCCCTGCAGTCGCAACCCACAGTAAAACAAAGATCGAGCGAGTTTAAAAAACATCTAGATATTTCATAATCGTTGTATAATATTAAATATTAATTTATTTATTATCTATTTACATTTAAAAGAAAGATTTATACAGTACATAGATAATGGAAGTTTATTCGTTTACATAAGAATTTCTTATTAAAACTCCACAAACCACAGTAATAAAATCCCAAAGTGGATTTGTTTTAATATTGCTTAAAACTTCTACAAATACGAATCTTATTAATTTAAATTTAAATAGACATAGAATTGGAAAATCAAGGCTCACAGTTCTCTCTCGAAGAATTGTCTTAAAACATTTAACATTCAAATTACATCTAAATCGGCATTAGCACATCTAACTTTGGTCTTTTCACAAAAAAAAACTTAGCTTCACAACTGTTACTAGCTTTTAAATAAGCGTAAAAAATATAAAGCGTACGTAAATTGTACATAAATATATAAGCCATAAAATAAAATAAAAAATATAAATAAATTAATAAAGGCATTAATGAAATGATAATTCACGCTCTAAATTCGACAATTTTAATCCTAAAAGCTCACACTTTATCAAAGCATCAGAAAGTCTAGAGATTTAAAATACTTATTTTTCAATATCTACATTACTCATTGTTATTTACTTAACTTCGTTTTTTAATACTTTTATATAGTACACAGCAATCAATGGATCTTACGCATCAAGTCGTAACTTTTTTTTGGAGAAAAAATTCTATTTCACGAGATTTGAGGTGTAGTATAATCTAACTATTGGATTTCTTCTATGTTATTGACATTCTTTATAACAGGTTCTCAGAAAAATTGTATTTTTCGAGTTACGATTATATGCCTAGGAGCCATCGTTAGTTGGCACGTCAGAAACAAAAGTACTCTTGATGCCACCGTGCCAACTGCGCTGGTACTATATTGTGTAATTCCGTTACACTATTGTTCGGATTATATCTTCTTATAACAGAAGATTGGGTGAATTTAAATCGAAATAAACTATTTACGAAACGTATAACAAAACTGTATAAAACTACAAAATAATAAATCTACAGATGGACGGGTTAAGTAAATCACTAACTCAAAATGGAATCCCGTTTACACTGACGAAACATCTGTAAAAAATTCTCAACTCTCTTATTTTGTTAGAAAAGAGTAAGATATATGTTTTGTACAAATGTTTCTGCAATGAGAACGCATGATAAAACAATCGTTTGTTATGAAAATTGTACACTGAAGCGTAAATAAAAATCAGTAATCGTTGTTATTAGAACACTTCATTTTATTATAAGCAAAATTTAAGTGATTTCTGGAAACCAGTTTCATTTTCAGATATTAAAGCATGATATTTATACATTTTATAGATTAAAAAATTGAAAACAAATACATATTTTTTCTTTTGTAAAATTTTAATTAAGTGATTTTTTTTAAACGAGAATGTTCCACTCCAGAAGAGAACTCAAGAAGTTAAATGAAATATTTTAACTTTAAAATACCAAAATTGGGCAATAAAATTTTGGTATATAAAGTATATTTAGAAGAACATATAATTTTGAAATACATTATGTATACGTTTTACTTAATTGTACACACCTCTAGTCATAGCTTCTCTATTCCTGTTATGCCATTTACAAGTTAAAATCCTGACATACGTCCTTCTAAACGTCGCGTTACAAAGAGCGTAGCAAACAGGATTAATAGTAGAATTTATATAACATAAAGCGTAGAAAAAAGACCAAAGTTCGTCTGGAATACATTTGGTGCACGCTGTTAAAGGCTTTAGTAATACTAGAATATTGTAAGGCGTCCACGTGATAATGAATGATAACAATATTGCAGATAAAGTTTTAGCCGCTTTTGTCTCTTGTTTCTTCTCTTGAGTTTTTTTCTTTTTTGGCTGTTTCGACGTGATGCCTTTCCCTGCCAGCTGTTTAGGTATAATCTTAGCATTTAACGGTATCCGAACATCCTGTAAATGTGATGTTCTTCTCGTTAGTGCACCATGTCCTCCAGGGTGTAGGTTTAGTTCAGAATCTCCTCTAGCCGGTGGTCTGTAGTGAGATCTAGCGTTCGACGGAGGGGATTCTTCTGTTATCATCTTTATACTCGGTCTTTCGGTGTCAGCATCTGGTAGTCTTATTAGGATAGTGTAAACTGAGTCGGCGGACGCGGATTTTGGTGCGGGTGAGGTAGTGGTATTGATTCTGGTGTTAGGTGGGAGGGAGCGACTGTCCCTAGCCGCGGGTATTGGAGCTGTTGGATTCTCGTATGTCCTCCGTAAAGGTGAAGTTCCTCCGTCGCCGCCACTCGATCCACCCGATCCTCCGCGAGACGCGTAAGGATCTCTAATAACATTCAAAGATGTGCACCTGGAAGAGATACTTTCAGTTATTTCCTACCTAAAATTGATAGATATGTATTGATCCTAACATAACGAGGTGAGAATTTAGTTTCTCTAGAGCAACATAGTTCCAAAAACTCGATGATAAATAACACAATATAACACAGAACGTGTAGGGAAACCGCAAACTACATTTTAATTATATTCAGCATTGCATTTGGAAGTTTCTTAATAGCTTTTAATAAAGAAAAAGAAATTTCTATCTATGAATCTAGATGTATAATCTAAAAGAGCTATTTTTTATGCAGTAATAATTGTTACTTCTTCCCTACTTAGTCTTTCTAGTCACTATCTCACCTGGACACAGAACTTTGCAGCGGCGTCTCTACTGACACGGGGGTAGCGTAGCCCGCGTCCGAGGGCTCCTCCTCCGGCTCCGTGTCCTCCAGGTCCTCGCGCCCTGAGTGCCACCAGGCGATGCACCACGCCTGGATCGCGATCCAGCCGCGTTTCGTGCTACGCGAATTCGCAACCTAATTGAAAAGAAATAACGTACATACATATTTCTGAGTGTTAATAAGTTATCTATCACCATCATGATAAATCATGTGAATATTAATTACTAACTGCCTTATTAAAGGCAGTTGAATGATTCCTTAGTGTAGATTTTTCCTACTAAATATCTCTACTAAGTAACAATCTCATTGATCATTTGATTCGTAATAGATAACTCTAACTTAAGTCTCTATGTTGGCCAAGAATAGGTAATACTCGTAGTTCGCTTTATTACTTAAAGTTTGACAACGATCTTAGCACAAACTTAGTCCATCTCCAATATATACTAGCTTAAATGGCACTTAAAGGTGAACCACGGTTTCCAACTGGGTCACTAAGTACTAAGACATGGAGTAAACGAGTTATAAATTAACTAATTTTTACAATTGAGTTATACATTATTCTATTTTAAGGATCCTCAGACAATGTCTGAATATAGGCCAAGCTGTATTTATCAACCATGGTCTCCATTTTTTTTTATATCATAAGGTGGCAAACGAGCGAGCGACCACATGAAATCGCTGAAATAGCGAAGTAACCGTTGCCCATAGACATACGCAATTGCATATGCGTTGCCTACCTTTAATCGACAGAGGAGAGGATGAACAGAAAGAAAACATTTCCATGCATCCTCTCATCCGAAAAGTCCACTTCCACTTCCCATCCTTATAAGAAAAAGTGTAGGAAGGGAAAGAGGACTAAATTAGGCCTCCGGGAAGCACAATCATCAGACGAAACGCGGAATTGCTTCCACTTCACGCCTGCCTTCTGTGTGGTCGTGGTATTTCACCGGGCGAGCCTGGCGAATTCGTGCGAAGTGTTAAAGCGGGCTCTACCACTGTTAAAGGACTTCCATTTCAAGACTTTGTTCTTAAATCGGATTCGATTACATTTCTGGCTAACAACGTATCACAAACTGTCCAGTACAGCCAAGACTGGACCGTTGCCAAATCAATGTTAATCGAAAAATAAAATTAGTATAAATTTACGTTGTAGATTTTTGAGATTAACAATTGAATATCACGCGTACCATTTGTTTTATACAAAAAAATCCAGACAACAGTTGCCTATTGCAAGAATTTAATTATTTTCTTTGTAAATTGGCTTGTTGTATATAAAATACTAGTCGTATTGTCTTAGTTCTGTGTAAAGAACTGACAGAAGCTTTAGTTTTGTAAAAGTAGGAGAGATGAAGGTAGCCTTGACCGTCTTTCGTCCGGTCTTAGGGGACGGAAAGAGTCTACATGGAATGAAAACGTTTTCTAAGTGTTTTTAATTACAGAACATTTAGTTGAAGAAAATGTAATGAAAACTTTTTAGTCTGGAATAAATTCTAGGTAAGATTTAATGTTTAATAACTGTAATAAATAAAGAAACGTATTTGTTGGGATTTAAAAACATCAGTGTTTTTATTATTGGAATCAGTTTAAAATATGTGTATACCAAACCATGTATAAGTAACATCGGAATCCGCCAATCGTGAAATTTTCACAACTAAATTCGGAAATTTAGTCGTATTTATGATCTTAATTAACTTTATAAATTCATATGAATATCCATATGAAGGAACTTTATTCCAACCGAGTCGTTCACATTTAAACTTCTGGGAAATCGTTTGAAAGCAAACGTATGAAATTAATTCGTAGTTAATCGAGTTAAAGAGAGGCGAAGAAATGTTTTCGTTTTAAGTATACGACGATATATTAATAGGGTTGACATCTCTTCGAGTTTGGCCGAATTTTTTTGCTAATCCAAATTCTTTGCGGTTTCATCATGCTTATGGGTTTGATAACTACGTCTTTGGGTGAGAATAGTGCGTTTGCAAGTCACTGGATATTGTTTTTTCGTGATCTGCTAAGAATTTAGGACGCATTTTATATCATATTATATTTAGCCAAGAAGTCAAGGGTTGACAAATCACATTTCGTATATTTTTCACACGACAATGTTCGCGTCTAAATTTCTTGAAGTCAGCAACCCTATTTCTCTCGAGTTTTACAAACAAAGCATTCTCTGAGAGATTATAGTATTTGCTCTATACCAAATCTAAATAATGATATGTCATAGTATTGTTTATAATTGTCGTAGTGCAAGCAATTGTTGCTTTACTTTTTTGGTGTAACTCAGTCGTAATTTTCATTATATCATATGCACTTATTTAAAATATTGTTAACAAAATTCCGTTAACAAGCACTCTCCGCTAAAGTGCAATATTATATGCACTTAATCATTCACAGCTTTAAATTTAAAAGTACATTAATGAATAATTAAATTCATTCTTTTAAAGATCAAACAGATTAAATATATTTTCTTTCTGAAAATCTGAATTTGAAATACTATTTTGTATTTTCAATATCTTTTTATGTTTACAATATCACGAAGTTGTAATATAAAGTACGATATAAGCATATTTTTTAAATAAAACATTTCCTCGCAGATATAAAGTTTCTTTATAAAATACGAGCTTGAATTGCCACTAATTCGTGCCGGACAACTTCGCGCGCAGTTCACTAACTCAATTTGTTTCGTATGGATTTCACGCTTTTACCCATTTAATGTAACTCAATTTTATTACTTTTACAACTGTAATTTGTTAGAAGAAAGTATAAATACGTTGGAAATGTTTACACCTGTGCAATAAGTCTATTAGGAGGTGATAAAATTATATAGATTTTTTTACTTTGTATTATAGATACGAAGAACACCTAATATCGATATATATATATATATAAGTACTTTCAAGGAGAATGACAACAATGTGTTTTATTAAGAAATGTTTCGGCAGTCGAAACTCATAGTAAAACAGAATCAAACAATTGAGTACCAAATATAAGTACCAGGGGCACATAAGACTAGCGATACCTTAATCAGATGACACCGTCTGTGATATTGTGGTACTTATTGTAATCCAAATATATGGATCTACCAGTAACTATCATGTTCTTGGTTACTGGTAGATTCAAGACGTGGAGCGACTGACATCTCAATTCCACTGGTCAGGTTATGAGCCGTGATATTTTGTGCTCATTTGTCGCTGACTACAGCGGTTGGTAGGGGTGTCGGAAACTCTTTCTAAGGATTGAGATAGAATTAGCCTGGCCCTTTTATGTCGAAAGGCAAAGGCGGTTAACTCTGCTTTGCTGCAGATACTAGAGTATATTTTTTTTTTTTTTTTTTTTTTAATGAGGACGGCTTTGTGCCGCCCTCGCTTACACCCCTGACATAGGTGGTCAGAGTTCTTTTTCATCATAATGTGTTTTTTGTTTACTACATTTTTGGATTTTTGTTTTAAATTACAATATTTTGTTACGTTTACATTTTTGCCTAGATCTTACAGTTTGTTTTACAATTTATTTTTACATTTTTATTATATGACCTTTACATTTACATTCATTTTATCTTTTGCTTTTTTATATTTACAATTTTTTAGCATCATCAATATGGTGTGCGTGGTGGTGCTTCTCTCTGCGTATGAAAGCATACGCTCAAGGAAGCACCACTAATACTAAGTTTGAATTTTATGCCAAATTGTCCCTATATTGATTCTACTTTGAGTTTTTCTTTTACTAAATATATACAATCTAAATTTTTACTAAAGATGTTCAGCCTTATCCCCGTGCGTTGACCCTTCTTTGTCTTTTACAGGTGTTCTCATCCGTCGTCCAGCTAGTGGGAAGGCAAGCTGGCCTCGGGAGTCCGTTTGTTACGGCCAGGTAGTGTTTACTGGTCAGACGTGGTGAAGAAGCCGTCGGCGACAGGAGTCTTCTATATTTGAAGAGTACTGCGGACCACGTAAGTTCTCTTCTGATAAACGGTTTAGGGCATGATTCATCATGCCTTTCATTGTTTGTTTTCGAAGTTATTAATACAATCTTTGTGTGTTCCGCAGCACCCTCCAACGGCGATGATTCTTCAGCGTGTGTGTTCCCATGAGTTGAGGCCTCCCCATCCTTCAGGATGTGAAGGACCTCATATCCGCTCTTCGTGCTACTCGCCGTTCGACACCAAGCGTCCCCCATCAACCCCCCTCTTCGTCGGTCCCAAAAGCTGACTATTTTATGCCGCTCTTTTCTTTGCAGGTGCTGCACGACGACCAGTGTTCCTCCAGCCGTCGCAGTGTATGGGACCTCGCTTCGCCTGGCAGTTTCGGCTTCGGTGCACCAACAAGGTAAGTTTTCTTTATTTATACTTTTGAAGTCCCTTTTATAATTTTCGTTCCAATTTTTATGTGCGATTTTTATATAATTTTGAGTAGTTATTTCCAAACTGTTTATGATTTTAATTCCATTTACTTTATTAATATTGATTTTATTTTTGTTCCAAATTTTTATTAGCTTTTCCGGAAATTCTTCCCTTTTGATTTTTTCTGTATTCCCTATTCTGATGTTGCATTGAATGTCCTCTTCTTGGTTCTTTTTAATTTTAATGTTTAGTAAGATTACCTTGTGGTCCCCGTTTGCTTTCCGACCTTCCCACCAGTTGTTCCGGGTGCTTACATCCGCCCTCAGTATTTCGTTTCTAGGCTTCGGGTGGGCTTGGAGAGTGCGAGGCCAATAGGCTCTGCCTTTCGTCCAGCCCTGAGTGCCCGGGGCGCCCTCAGCAATAAGCGATTGACGATCTCGCTATTGCGTCCCATCTTTCACGCACCGGGCACTCTTGACTGAAAGCGTTATGGTCGACTCTATCCAGTTTCGCCGCTTTGCAATTACAACATGAGGGTTCGAGGCCTGCTTGCCAGTCGGTGCACTCATTCTTTTTGTGAGGCCCCCCACAGTGGCTGCACTTTTCTGCCTTTTCAGTGCATAGGCGCTTCGGATGTCCGTACCCTAGACAGAGCGAGCATTGTACAAGGGGCGATTGGTCCTCCACTCTTACCCTTTGCAAATCAATTTGTACTTTGCCCGCTTCCGTTAACCTTCTCCACATCTGTGGGTTCACCCTTATTACAACGTGCTGCGTCAGTGGATTTCTCGCTTTTTTCTTATATACTATTTCTAATTTTTCTTTGTCATTTTCTTCTCCTACTACTTCCCTGTTCTGATTTTTCAGCGCAGCAACAATGTCCTGATCGGTGTTATATTTAAATACGTTTAATAATATTATCAAGGGGTCCTTATTTTTTATATCCTGCACAGTGAGATGTTTTTCTGCGTTCTTTAATCTTTCTTTCAATTGTACTAGAGTATATTAGAATTTGTATGTGGCTATACCTGATGGTCCCTCCAGCGTGTGTCGTGTAATGCGCCCCGCACATGGTACACGGAGTCTGCATCGCCGGACTCCGAACGCGCGCGTCCATCCACCTCACGTGTCTCGTCACTGCAAACGTTACGTTATGTTAGAGAACTTTTACTGAAATACATCATAGCTAATAGCAGACATCATCATGTCTGACCTGACCACTTAGTATGTAGGGTTGGTATAAAGATATTTCGTCTTCTAAATCAATTTATCTTTCAACGTATCAATTGACGTCTCTATTTTAATCATGTTAATTTTCACGCAATGTCTAAGATACATCCTATATAGATACTTATCTTACTTATAATGGATGGATGGATGTTCGAAGGTATCTTCAGAACGGCCGCATGGACCTCGCTGAAATTTGGCATAGATGTAGAACAACGTCGGGAAGAACACGGGAGCTAATAATTAAGTTTTTTTTTAATTTCGCAGACGGGGTCGCGGACGACAGCTAGTATACTAATATAGGGTGTATCTTAGGGGCTAAATCAATCTTATTAACCTTAATAAAGGTCCAGAACCTCGCATCTATCGTTTGATACAATTCCAAAGTATTTACTCCATAAAGCTCTTGTTAACCCAACATACCCTCCATATACGTATATTATGTACTAAAAATTCCTTAAACAGATAACTAGTTTTGTCTCTATTTAATAATTAAATGACATTTTTATTTAAACTTGTTCTTTTGTCTACTTCCTCGTTCTTAAACAAAACAATTCCAAAAGAAAACCAGCACTTCCTCTACAAGTTTGAAATTCATTAGCTATGAGAAAAGTTTTAGCATTTGCAAATAAACAAAGAGAGTTCTAAAGCGGAGAGGATCGATGCGTTCGCAGATGTTTCTCGCAGACTCTATACTCAATTTTCATATGACTTGAAGACGATTTTGTACGCGTAATGAAACTGTCTACTATCTACTAAAAAAGGACCTCTGTTGTTATTTTATGTTCTTTCTTAACTCATTCTTTCTTCAATTTCAAAACGCTAGAAAGCGTATTTTTTTAAATATGAGTACGTTTTATTTGGGTTTTTAAAGATTTTCCCACCTACGGGTAACGTTTTTACAATAATAATAATGTCATATCGTAATATCTTACGACAAACTAAATATTCATTGTCGAAAAGTTTTTAGTTTTAAACCTTTTTTATTTAAAGTACTGGTTTAAACAAATTCATTTAAAAATATTATGAACAAAGTAAGAAACATTTTCACGCTTGGTCTCGCTTCAGCTACATTGGAAATCCTTTGACGAGAAACCAACCAAATCAGTTCAATTCGAAACACAAGTAATTATCACTTTTATTCCCAATAGCTCTAAGTTCAATTTTGATTAACATATAACATTGAATATTCACTGGAAAATTAAACTCTAATCATACGGAATAAGGATCAGAATAAACGTTACTTAAGAAGCCATAAACATAGGTTGAGGCAGCGAAAGCTTGCAAATATTCGAGATAGGAAACAAGAGAGGAAAGTATGTTAGAAGTGGGGTTAGGGTGGGCTTTTAAGGGGGTACGAGGTGGGGTTAATGGTAACGATTCTAATAGCGTATTGCGTAAGGATATATGATTACGCCGTAAACTTTGTCGACTTCTTGTTAATCATTGTCCAGCTTAATTGAATTTCGCTAATGGAATTAATTACTTTGCTTATTTGCGAAGGAACTGAGATTGTAATTTAGGTGGAATACGAAGACATGATTTCCGTGTTTGCAGTTGTAAACTTGATGATGATAATCTTACTAATATTTTTAATACGAAGGTTTGGATGGATGTTTGTTTCAAGGTATCTCTGGAACGGCTCAACGGATCTTGATGAAATTTGGCACAGATGTAGAAATTATCCTCGCAGAACATATAACCTACTAATTAAGTTTTCCTAATAATGCGCGGACGGAGTCGCTGGTGACAACTATATTCAATAAATTATTTTTTTTCAATAGATATCTCCGGATATGTCAATAATTAAGAATAAATTGGCTACAAAACGACTTGAATTTTTTTTTGAAAAAGAGGTAAGACACTAGAATAAGTATCCTCCCCTGTCGAATTGATGCCAAAGTAGTACAAGAGTACAATTTCAAGTAAAATCATACGAAACATTGAAGCAATATACACTATCCGACACAATGTTAGTTTCCTTCCTGCATACAAGCTTGCTACAATTGAAGCGCAACACAATGACACATGTCGTTCCATCCACTCTCGTGACAACGGTATAATGCCGTCCTTCTCGCTGACACTTTCTTCCGTTGGTCACAATGGACCAGCTGATCGTATCGAAATGACAGTTTTAGAGCATTGAACGGGGAACAGATGTCAATAGATATGCCGCGCTTTGTGGGAATGTGATACGTTTTATGCTAGTAATGGAATTATTCTATATATGTATACGTATTTTCTCATTCACTAGCTATATGTATTATTTGTGCTTGTCATAATATTGTGTATACCAACTAACCCAATAAGTCTGCATAGGCATCTATTGGTGTCAATCTTACTAATATTATAAATATGAATGTTTGTTAGAATGTATCTCCAGAGCAACTGTATGGATCTCGCTGAAATTTGATTGAGATGTAGAACATAGTTTGGAAGAACACATAGGCTACTTATTAAGTTTGTAATTCCGCGCGGACTGTGTTCCAAGCGACAAATAGTTTAGATATAAATCTTCTGGACCTTTGTAATTTTGTTATTCAAAGTAAAAATAAATATTCTTTTGAATCTTGCCAAATAAATTGCAAATAATCGCTTGAATAAACAACTCCAGATAAATTAGATTACATCGTTGGAATTTGAACGGACAGACATACGCTAGATTTTATTATGATAAATCCAAGACGTTTAGATGCGAGAACTTATCTTAAATCAGCTTTGGATCCCGGTTCCCGGTGCAAAAACTTTGTCCCGTTGAAAATTACATTGGCGCGGTTTAGCTGTGAGGCTGTGTATACAATTTTATCATTTTCTCGCTTCCCCGGGAACCGATGCTTTGAGCGTATTTTATTTTCATTTCCCTATTTCAATGAAATTTCCTGTTTGTGGAGCAACTGTTACAAGATATCTCCTGTTTGAATTTATTTTGCATTCTGAGAGAATCTATTGGATATTTTTACTCTTCTGATTATTCAAGTTATGCCTTAACGATTGCTCAATTTACAGTTTCAATAAATAGACACATCACAAAATTTGTTGCCTTCACGACTAACATGGAGATTGGAAATTAATCGATTTATTTAATGAAAAACTTTGTAAATAGGTTTTGTTTTAGAATAACAATAACAATAACAATAACAATGAAATAGTGTCCACACATTGAAAAATGAATTAAAAAAATAATTATTCCGGAAATACCTTGTGTGTTTATGAAATGATTAATCGTGGGTTTCCGACAACAAATTATCTGTATAAAACATAGTACTGTCTTTCATCTTTTTCAAAAAAAATAAAAACATGTTTTCAATGGGGATTTCGGTCTCAGAAACCCTTGATAAGTGTATTTAATAATAATTAGTATATCTGAGTAAATTCTGTGTGTATTTTTGGTTATAAGTATTACATTTGAAGTGGAAAATTTCCACTCAATCTTCATCTTTTGCGGCCATTTGTCCGCATTTCCGAAGGACCCCGTTACAGGGACGTTGATAAATCACTCCCTGAGAAATCTTGCAGTAACAGACAATTAAAATTTATTATACTCCAGAGATAAAGATAGGAAATCGTTTAATCTCCAGTAATTATAAACAAATGAATAGCTAACCTATTCGGTCCAATTCATAAAAATAAAAATTTAAAATAACTAATTCAGAAACCCACCGATAGCAATTTTCTCACAACAATAAAAATATAATAAAAAATAATATTATTAAGCTTAACATAATTTATTTTAAAAATTATAGCTCTTTTCTTAAATTAAAACTTTTAAATCTAATATCTAACTAGCTGTAGCACGCGACTCCGACCACGCGAAATTAAAAAAAAACTTAATTAGTAGCCTATGCGTTTTCAGTCTATGTTCTATACCTAATTTGAGTGAGATCCATACATCCGTTCTAGATATATCTTTAAATAAACATCCTTTCAAATATTCGCATTTATAATATTAGTAAGAAGAAGGATTTAACAGTGGTAGAGCCCGCTTTAACATCTTCGCACGAATTGGCCCGGCTCGCCCGGTGAAATACCACGACCACACAAAAGACAGGCGTCAAGTGGAAGCAATTCCGCGTTTCGTCTGATGAGTGTGCGTCCCGGAGGCCTTATTAAGTCCTCTTTCCCTTCCGTTCGTTTGCTATTTCAAATACATAAAATGCCATTTGTCTGACGTGCTCCTGTTTTAGAATTCATACAACGTATAAAATACCTTAGTATAATTCTACCATTATAGTAGTTAAGTCACATTTTCTCGTATTTTATAATAATACTGTCAAACTATTAAACTTGTAAAATATTTCAAGAATGTAAGTATCGATGTTTAACAATTTGCACTTAAACCCTCTTCTTTAAAACTCTCCACAAACCTCTCGAAGCGAGTACTCGACCGCCCTCACGGCTTGCTTGAGGATTTTGTTTTATCGGCCCCTCTTCACATCTATATTGTCCGTTTATTTATAAACTCTATTTTCTAGCAATACTGAGACGATCAGCTTACTGTTGAATGTGTATTGAAATTCAATAAACCCTTTTTGCAATTTCAACGTCAAAAAAAAAGAAAATAATCAAAACAAATAGGCACAAACTTTATATTATCGTAGCATTCATTATCAGCTGTATATCACCCCACTGAAGAGCTCAGAGCCTACCCTAAGTTAGGGGTAACTAGGCTATAGTCAACTACGCTAGCTCAGTACTGGTTGAGTTCACAAATATCTTTGATTTTCTTCGCAGATATGAGCAAGTTGCATCACGATGTTTTATTTATTTATTTCGTTCGTCCACAAAAGTACATGTGTTCTTATATACATTTTTGGCACTATTTAACAAGAGGTTTCAGGCAACATGTAATTTCACTTACCGACAAACACAACATGTATAAAGTATTGGTGGTTTTCCTTAACCGTAACAAC